GGGGGGGCGATGGGGGTCCGTCCCTCGGTCCTGGGTGTTGGAGTGAGTATTCTGGGTGGCCCGGCAGGGGGAAGGAGGTGGGGGCTTGGGTCTGTTTTATCCTTGCAGATGGGAGGGAGGGAGAAAGACATAGACAAAGAGAGACCTACCCCAGCTTATACAAAGACAGAAATCTGAGAAACTCATCCTGAAGCACACCGAGGAGAATACACAAACAGGAAAAAGCACAGAAGGAAACACTCATGCAGACAGATCATGGAGGCAGACAGCAAAAACTCAGAGAAAGCCCATACGCACTCAGAGAAACACACTCAGATGCACAGGGAGAGGAGATGGAGCTGGTGCTTTGGAGGCCATGGGACAGAGGGAGGAGAGAGGAGTAGTGAGAAGCGGAGAGACTGAGGGAGGAAGAAAAGAGGAAAACGGTAAACCTGAGAGACAGAGAGAACTGGGAGGACGAAAGAAAAAGGACTAAAGAAGACAGCCCTTTAGGAGGGCCAGTATAAACACATGACTAGAGAAACTGAGGCAGACCCTGAGAATTAGCCCTGCCCCCCTAAACAGAGATACACAGATGAAAGAGACCACAGCCTTCTCGCCCTTGCGGGCAAGTGAGTTTCAGGTGGGACGCAGCTGCATGAGACCTCTGAGAAAGGCCTCCTTGGCACTATGAGCCAGCTAAGTCCCCACCTTGTCCACCTGGCAAACTCGTACTCATCCGTCAACACCCAGTTCAAGCATTTGCCCTGTGAAGAAGGCTTTCCCAGAAAATGTCGTGCAAACTCGGTATTCTTTCTGTGTACTTCTGCATGTGGCTCAGGCACATGAGGAGCTGGGGAAGAGGTAGACAAGCAAACAGCAAACATCTGTCTGCTTGGCTACCTTTTCCCCAGCTCCTCAAGGTTTGGGGCCCCGTATTGTATTTATCGCCAATCTCCAGAATCCATCCTAGTGCTTGGCACATAGTAGATGATCAGTAAATACTTATTGATGAACACTGGGAACATGTGGACCCTCTAAGACATGGAACATAGCATTAAATACAAACAGAGGAGATACGCTGAGCTGTGGTCATTCCTTTCATAAAGGAAAAGGCAAATTTGGGTCCAGACATAAAATGCATTTTCATTCCCTTCAGGCAGGTGACTTGGAGGGAAACCCTTTTCTGTAGGTGGAGAAATTAAAGCCCAGAGAGGGGAGGAGACACCCTCAAAGGGACACAAGTGATAGGCCTGCAATGAAACAGCATGGTGAATACATACTTCTCTGAGAGGCCCTTGTTCCTCCGGCTTATGAGCTTCTTTATTTTACCATTAAAAATAACATTTTATTTATTTATTTTTATTTGTCAAATTCTGTTGACATTCAGTATTATCTTATATTAGTTTCAGGCATACAGCATAGTGGTTAGACACATATAATTTATGAAGTGATTCCCCTGATAAGTCTAATACCCACCTGGCACCTTACATAGTTATGACCGTATTATTGACTACATTCTCTATCTATGCTGTTCTTGATGTCCCCATGACTATTTTGTATAAACTACCAGTTTGTACTTTTTAATCCCTTCACCTTTTCACCCTGCCCTATGAGTTTAAAATAGGTGTGAAAGAGCCTCCTGAATGAAAACAGGCACTAGACAATGGACGCTGTAATAACCAGTTGTAAGTTTCCAACATGGAAACTGACAAAACTTTCCCCAGAACTTTTAGAGTTCTCTTTCCTCCTTAGAAAGGAAAAGAGAGATGGATGTCCATCTCCGTTTAAGTGGCTGGCGTTCTGCTTCCTGACTACATAAACTTGGATACATCCCTGAACCTCCCTGCATCTCAGTTTTCTCACCTGTAAGATGGGGATACTAATACCTACCTCATAGGATCAGTAGAAGAGTTAATGCACAAAGTGCCTGGCACAGAGCAGATGCTTGGTGACTAAAATCCCACCCTTGTCCTTCTGAGGTCAGTATTCTTTCATGTGCTTGGTGTAGATGTGAAGACAACAGTGCTCGTGAAAATGATTCTTTTTATCCCAGGACAAAAGTCCATCCTGGTCCAACTGGGGAGCAAACTCTTTTAATAAAAGAAAAGACAAATTTGGGGCATGCCATAAAATGCATCTTGATTCTGTTTAGGCCTCAGGTCTCTGCAGGTGATTTGGGGCAACCTAAGTCCCCCCTCCCAACCCTCTCCTGTCTTTTCTCTCCCCAGCAGGTAAGACCCCACTGCCTCACTCTCTTTTATTGCTTCTAAGCCAGGTTTGCTCTGCCCTTGTGTCTTTCAAGCTTCAGCCCATGCCGGCGATGTGACCAGGACTGAGGGAGCCAGCGGAAACATGGAGACCGTGGTGATTGTTGCCATAGGCGTACTAGCCACTATCTTTCTGGCCTCGTTTGCAGCCTTGGTGGTGGTTTGCAGGCAGCGCTACTGCCGGCCTCGAGACCTGCTGCAGCGCTATGATTCCAAGTGAGTGGGCCTGGAGATGGGAAGGAGGGCCTCCAACAAAAGAAAAAGAAGTGTGGTGCTGGGCAACTCTGGCTCAGCTTTTTGTCTCTGAAAATGGTACCTGAAGTCTGTCCTTCCCAATGAAGACCTCAGAGCTTAAGAATGTTCCTTAAGCCCCCCCAACATCCTTAAGCTCCCCCCAACATCCTCTAACTCTGTCACTGAACTAATGAGAAAGTGACCAAATGTGTTCCCCAAGCGTAAAGGTGTGGCCATCTCTCCAAAACTGGCCGCCTCATTTAGCATTTGGACAAGCCAAATCCCTTTCCAACCAAAACCCTCATAGGAACAGAAATCCGATGCCCACAGTCCAGCCACACATCTAAGCAACAGACACTTGGTGTCGTGTAATCCCCACATAGGACTGTCTGTTCCCACAGATTTCTTCGTGATGCACTTCATGTGCAATATAGCGGGGGTGCCAAAAAAATGTATACAAGTAGACACTTTGGTCAACATTGCTCAAGCAGTAGTTTGCTGTAATCAGAAATGTCTGGACACGGATGGTAACCACTTTGAGCACCTCTTGTAATTGCTGAAGTCAAATGTGACTTGTATTCATCTTTTGTTGTCGGCATATATTGTGTATGATGATTTTAATAGTTTTTGCCTTTCTTAAAATGTGTATACATTTTTTTGGCACCCTCTGTATTTTGTAAGCAAGATTCTATTTTCAGTTTAGGGATGTTTTAGCTGATAGATCCATTCAGGGACCACGGCCACTAACCCTTAGTTTCTCTTACCCTTCTATCTGAATCCTATTAACGGCAGCATCTCTGTGAGTGATGATAATTAGTAAATGCCCATTTTTATGGCCCAGAAAAGCTCTGCTAATGAAAAGAATGCTATGGCGCCTCATGTTGTAAAGAGCCCTGGCTGTAAAGTCGCAGGGGGTGTTACTTCTCACACTTCTCCAGTATAACTAGGAGAGGGTGGGGTTATGAGATGAACTACTATGGTTTGTTCCCAAGAGTGATTCTGCAGACCGAGTCTGAGGTACAGGTAGATTTGGGAAATAGGAACTTCAGATTCCTTGTAAAAGGTAGGCTTGAAGGGAAAATAAGTTACAAAAGGACATCATTTTGTCCCGAAGGAGCAGCCCTGTCTAACACATCGTTGTAATGATCGTGGCGGCAGCTCTTCACTTTTCCTTAGTGGCTCGCTTCATTCTGTGTCCCTTCTCTTTTGTTTTAGTGCTCCAGCCTGCTTCCTTGACTCACTGTCTGGCCATGTGCCCTCTCCGTAACTGCAGTCCCACTTGGGGTTAGGTTTGGATCCAGGATAAGTGGTCCCTGCTTTAACTTAGTCGCTCCCTTCATCCTTTTGGGGGGCATGTGGGTCTCCATGAGGAGAGAGGCAGCAGCAGTCACCCACTGTGACACCGCTTCCCCGGGCTTTTCCTTCCAGACCCATTGTGGACCTCATCGGTGCCATGGAGACCCAGTCTGAGCCCTCTGAGTTAGAACTGGACGATGTTGTCATCACCAACCCCCACATCGAGGCCATTTTGGAGAATGAAGACTGGATTGAAGATGCCTCGTAAGGCCTTGGGGATGGTTTGCTTTCCTGCGGCCCCCTGGGGTGGGCACACAGGGCTTCTGGTGCCTTTTCTGGCTTCCTTTGCCAGAGCGCTTGACTGGGCATCCAGGAGCACTGTGTCACTTTCTGCTCTTTCCCGTGCCCGCCTGAAGGAGGAAATCGGAAAATGACATGACAGTGTGTGTCCTGGGCCCCCATGTTGTAGACCTGAATGCCAGAGCTCATAGATATCACCCTGCAGTGCTTGGTTATCTTTGGGGTGCCCATGAACTTGACATTCAGGCACCAGAGTTAAGCCTCTGTCTTCAGTGTCCTCAGGGATCTCTCTATCTACCAGGAGCCTCTGCGTGTGGCGAAGTGTATGCCATTCCACTCCCTCATCATTTAGTCATTCATTCACCAGGCAGATGTCCGCGGGGCATCATGTGCAGGGCAGTAGGCCAGGCACTGCATATAGGAAACTGGTGGTGGAGACAGAATTCTACTACATGCAGTTATCTCAGAAATAGCGGGGGGGGGGGGATGTCTTTGTGCAGAGTGCAGTGGGTACACGGAGGAGCAATGTCTAGAGTCGCCTTGGGTGGGGAGGTGGGGGTGAATTTTATGAAGGATATCACAGAGTAGGTGCCTGTTTTTTTTTTTTTTAAGATTTTATTGGGGGATTGGGGGAGGGAAACAGCGTTGGGGAATCAGGGAAGGGGAACAGACAAGTTGCTGTCATTTTGTTCTTCAGTCTAGATGGGGAGGACATTGCTTCACTGGCCCATGTTGGTATTATCATTGCGCTCTTCCTGGGTGAGGCAGATCGGTCGCCGGCCTCTGGATGGCCACTCACTGCGGCTCTTGGCAGCTCACACTGGCTGCCGGCCGCTCACGCTGGCTGCTGGCCACACACGGTAGCTTATGGCAGCCCACTGCAGCAGGGGCTGCAGCCTACGCTGTCACTGGCGACTCACGGCTGCCCAGCTCCAGGTCGAGCTGTTGTTCACCATCTTAGCTATAGAGGGCGCAGTGTCACTGGCCCTCATGTGGGATCCGAACCGGGGCCCTGCTGCTCAGATCTGGCGTCCCAAGCCAGCTCTTAACCAACATACCACTCGGCCGGCCCGAGTAGGTGCCTTTTGACTTGGGTCTTAAAACATGAGACGTTCACCAGTCTGAGCATAAAAAGAAGGCTACCCTGAGCAGAAGGAATGGTAGCAGAAGCTCGGAGCACGACTTGATCTGTGGAGAGCAGCGCTAACTGGAAGAGCCGACTGGGTGGGGTCAGGGAGGAGAAGGGAAAGGAAAGAAGGTGCTTCTTCACGGAGCTCATAGATTTGTTCATTTTAACGCTGAGGCATTCCTGCTGTCAGGCAGTGCCCAGGTGTGTCAGGGCCAGATGAGGAGTGGAAATGGTGGCTGGAGGGAGGTGGGCCTGTAAAAATAAGCATTGACAACTTCTTCTTGTCTCTCTAGGGGTCTCATGTCCCACTGCATTGCCATCTTGAAGGTAATACTCTTTGATGTCCCCAAGAGAAAAGGGGGGTGGTGGTGGTCACCAAAGCACCCCTATGCACAGACTGTTAGAGGGAAAAGGGGCCTTAGGAAGGGCATAGAACCCTTGCAAGAGGCCTTTTTTTTTTTTTAACATACCTGAAACTTTCTACTGTTTATCTCCACTCCCTACCTGGACGGTATGCTTCAGAATCCTGAAGGCCCTTTCAAAGGCTTCATTTCACCTGGTCCTCATAATACCTGTGGGAAAAACCATATATAGTCACCAGCCACATTTTCACCAACTGGAAAAAGCTGTGTGCCCAAGACTGTGTGGCTGCTGAGGGGGAAATGGGGCGTCTCACCTCCTCTCTGGGCACTTTCTTTCATTAACAGAGAGCTCAGCCCTCTACAGTGAGTGGGGCTCTGTATCTGAACTTCTCCAATTACTAGAAAGTCCTTCACTAGCCCTCTTTGGCTGCAACAGTACTCAGCCAAATGGGACAATCAGTGTTAAAAAATCCAAACCGTGAGTACTTTAAGTGGGAGACAGATTTTTTTTTTCTTTTAATGCCTTTCAGCCTCTACGACTAGGTGGAAAATTGCATCCAGTTTGCCTTTTGGGTAATTTTTATAGTTTCAGCAATTTTTTCCCCCCAATTCTTGGTGGATACTATTCTACCTAATAGGATTATAGTAATATTGAAATATTTGGCCATTTGCAAATATTGTCAGTTTCTTCATTTCAGTAACCTAGGAAACCACACATTTATCTCTTGTCTAGTAATTATTCAAGAATTCAAAAAGCTTTATCTTTCCTTCGGTGTCATTCAGTACAAGATATGAAAAAGTTTTTCATCCCACCTCTTCTCTAGCTCTCTCTCAGGGGACAAAGAAATGCCTAGTAAGGGAATCATTGTCACAGAGTCCAGGCTTATTACTTAATTCCAAGAAGGTCTTTGGGATAGATATGGTTGTATAATAGATGGAGACAGGTATAATGTCTAGAGCAATAATGGCTTATTACATCTCCCTCGTCCCAGCCGGGGTGTGTCCTGGCACTGGGTTTTGTCCCCTGCCCTTTCCTGTTAGGGGAGCAGAAGTGGCAACTGAGGTAGGGCATGAATCAGCTGAAAGGAGTCTTATTGGATTGGAATCAGTGGTCCATCCCGGGGACCTCAGCTCCAAGAAGGGGCTCTTACCTTCCTTTCAAGACCTCAAGACTCTTCTGCTTGGCTACCTGCCCTTGAGTCCCTGTGGTGGGGGTTCCAGGGAGGGAACTGGGCTCTCTCCTATGTGGGCTCTTGGGTTTCTTTCTGCCTTCTCGTTTCCAGCCCTAAGTATAAAGCAGGTAATGGGTCTTCTTTGCCAGGGACAGAGCGACATCCGGGTTCTAATATCAGAGGTGTGGGAGAGGGGAACAAAACTTTGGGGATGGCCAGCACTGTTGGTGGGTGGAGAGAGGCCACGCATCATTGCCATTTACTTGTTTTTTCCCCCCAAAGCTGTTTCATCATCATCTTGACAACTATGCTAATATATCACCCTAGAAAATTGTTGAAATAAGTACCACTTTTGGAGGAGGTGTTTAAAGGGAACAGTTGTCCTTTATCCAGCCATGTTTCTGAGGGTGCCCCATTGGAGATGGAAGACTAAACCAGGAGGTGAAGGAATAGGAAGAGAAAGTAGGTTTTTCCCCTTAAGCAAGACAGTGAAATTAGAGCACATGATTTTTCTTAGACAGATTATTTTAGCTTAGACTTCTCTAAGCCAAAACCCTGACCCTGATCTGAGGTTCCTACCCCTCCCTCCTCATCCAGCCATGTTCTCAGCTTTTGCCTCTTCCACCTCATTCCCTCTCACGTCTGTACGTCTCAATTTAATGTATCCATTAGGTTATGGAGCCTAGCTGCGGGATGGGACCCAAGGTGGGGGCTACATTTGTCTTTTTTGGGGGGTGGCAGAAGCCCTTGGGGGAGCTAGGTCACCTCTCATCTCCTCTCTCTCCCTTACTGCCTTAGATCTGTCACACTCTGACAGAAAAACTTGTTGCCATGACAATGGGCTCAGGGGCCAAGATGAAGACATCAGCCAGTGTCAGTGACATCATCGTGGTGGCCAAGCGGATCAGCCCCAGGTGAGCAGTGAGGGCTTTGGGGTTCCCACACTCTGTGCAGGGAAAGAGGGCCGGAAGCTGAGGTCAGGGGCAGGGCCAGGCTCTTCTCAAAATCCACACAGGCAACTTCAGTTATTTATGTCCTAAATACTCACAGAGCGTTCAGGAGGGTTTAGGAATTAGGAGACGTTCAAGCTAAGATGTTCTCACACAGTTCCCCGCATCTCCGGCATCAACGCTAGTCAGTGTTGTGGGACATTCCAGCAGAGGACTAGTGCTGACTCTTTCTCAGTCCCATACCAGCTGAGGCTGCGTTCCTTCCTTTGCTACTCCTTTCTCCCAGGCTCTGGGCCAGTAAGCACATTTCCCACTGGTGCCCACCCCCCCATTGCAGTAACTTGGCCATGTCTTGTCTCCCACTTATTTCTGTATTGTAGACTAGTTTGGGAGTGGCTGTCACCCACGGCCCCATCCATGGCCCAGCCAGTAACCTCCAGCACTCGGTGGTGGTGGTGGGGTGGTGGTGGTGGGGGGTGGTGAAGCCATACATCATTCAGATCTCCCAAATTCCAGGCATCTGCAAAATCTCGTGTGGGAGGCAACCAGCAGATTGGTCAACAACTACACCCCCTCCTGTGGGTTAAATTTGGTGAAGAAAAATAAAGCCCTTTTCTTTGAGAGACAGGCTGTGCTAAGTTTGTGCTGCCATCTGGTGGCTGGTATGGGGATGTGCCTGAGTGGGGTGTTGTCCCTGTCCAGGATGTTTTTTTAATCAGTCTCAGGGCCTTACTGCTGGGAGGGTGCCTCCATATCTCTGGGGGGAATGGTGGCACCCCCTCTGAGTTCCAGGGGCCCTCACTTTCCTGGTTGCCATGGTCTCAGGTAAATCACGAGGAACCAACCTTGGGAGGGAATCTGAAAGAGTTGGTGCACTTGAACTCAGTCCAGGGAGTTCAGTGAGCTGAGAAACTGGGACGGACTCAGCCCAGAACAGTTCTTGGCTTTCTCTGGAGCTGTCCCCGGATGGGTGTAGCTACGTGACTTCTACCAGCCTAGGTCGGTCTCTGGCCTGACAGACCCTCCAACCCAGGCTCTGGGCAAGCCCCGGACCTTCCTCTGGCCACTCCTGATTGGTGGAGGCTCTGCTTTGCTCACACCTGCTGGACTTTCATCTTGCTTCCTGTGACTTCCTGTGGCCCCTCGGGAGCCACACAAATTCCTGTGATTCCAGGTTATAAGGCAGCATTGCCAGGAGGGGTCAGAGTTGGAAAGAGATGGACGTTCTTCAGGACGGGTGAAGTCCTGGGTGAGCAGGATTAGTAGGGGTGCTAGAGTGAGGGGGTGTCATTGCCCAGTGGGTGGGCCGGACCTGGTGCTCGCTGGCCCATCCTTGGACAGCACACATCTCCGGACTACTTCCGCCATGTTCCCTGACACAATTCACTCTGGGTCTTTGCTTTGTCCTTGTGCCCTCACACCTCTGTTTTCCTTCTGGCCATTTTTGTCCCCATTGTTTTTCGTGCTCCGGTTTTTCCACAGGGTGTGTTGATACCATATTAGTTTCCCTACAGAGACAGGGCCTGGCGAAGACAGAGGCTGAGAATGACTGTGGCTCCGCATTTTCTCTCCAGCCCCTCAGCCCTGAGACAAGAACATTGAAGGACATCTATTTTCAAGTGCATTTAGAAATCAAACACTACATCATTATTTTTGACTCCTGATTATCGAGTGGTCCAAGAGCAAAAATTTGGAGCAAGACCTTGTATCATGCAAATCAGAATGAGTAGTTGCTCCTTTCTGAATTAGATTTAAAAAAAAATTAACCACAAACTATATCATGTGTTAAAAGAAATACAATGGAGCAGTTTGAACTCAAACTTGCAGGTTTTTTTTTTAAGTGTTCTATATAATTACCTTCAACCATTTTTTTTAACACAAAAGTAATAAATACTTGTAAAAATTAAAACATTGCAGAAATCGATTGTCTGGAAAGAAGAACCCCCACTCCGCCCTAATTCCACCTCCCCCCAATTTCTGTAGGTAACCGCTATTAAATGAGTATTCCTCCAGACTTCTCCCCCCTGCATTTCATAGCTTTTGTTTATTTATTTTGATGCAAATGAGATGGATCAAACTTTATATATTGTTTAGCAGTGTGCCTTTTTTCATGTAGTAGTATATCTTGAATATCATCTCAGATGTTCGAAAGTGTCCTTTTTAAACCCTTAGAACCAAACCAGAAAACTACATAGTCTCTGCACTGAGCCTGAAGTCTATCCAAGTCTGTCGGAAAATGTAAAAGCAGTTAGAGAAAGAACCACTCAAGACTAGGGCTTGACGATCAGAAGAGTTGGGCTAAAGAGAGGTAGGAAAGAAGGAAGGGGTAAAGGAGATAAGGAGAGCGAAATACTGAAAACCCTTTGCCTCCCCTCAGAGTGGACGATGTCGTGAAATCGATGTACCCTCCGCTGGACCCGAAACTCCTGGATGCACGGTGAGAGGGGTGGTGTGGTTGTTCTCTCCAAGCTGGAGGCTCACCGTTGGATCAGCTCTGCGCGTCAGCTGTTTGGGTTGTTGAGGACAGGGCTGTTTTGCTGGATTCCCGGGCTATCCTGGGCCTTGGGTACCCTTCACTGCAGCGTGAATGGTCAGCCAAACCAATGAGCCGAGCCTGGCTGGGTGACAGAGGGCAGCCAGTCTTAGCCCTGAAACCCAGGAGCAGGAAGAGCTAGATTAGAGTTTGAATTTTTGTGATTACACACCTGGCCCCCACTAAGTCCTGTCTGCGCCTCCCCTCCCTTCCATTTCCCTGTTGTTATCTCTGCTCTTTGCACCCTGGAAGCAGACACACCTTAGCTAGCAGCCACCTAGTGGGTCAGCGAGGCAGGTGGTGAGCAGGGCAATGAGAATGGAAGGGACAAGTCAGCTCAAGCTGTGCTCACTTTCCACAGGACACACCCAGGAACCCCTGTCTCGTGATCCTCCCCTAATACGCAGAGTATTCTTAGCCTTTACAAAATTATTGTTTTCCTGCACCAGAGGTAACCCCATTTGTGAAAACTGGATTCCTTGTCTCTCAGATTTTATATTTGACTGTTGCATAGACCTGTTTGGGTAATGACTGCCAGCTCGGCAGTGGGTCACGGGCTTCAGTTGGTTCCTCTGCCCCACTCCTGTTGCTGCACAGCTGTGCCCATGGGTTAGTCATCTGTAATACATTTCCAAATGCATCCTGCATGCTCACTGTACAAACGGTATTATTCTACAGTGAATCTTTTACTACTGACTTCAAACCCCACTCCTCATTTGGGTTTGCAATGAAATTTTTTCTCTTGGAATAGGGTGAACCAGTTGTGGGCCTTATTGATTCAGAATCAATAAAGGATGCTCAAGGTAGGGGTATGTATATCCTATATTTAAGCGGGCAGCAGTTGGATGTGCTCATCTACTTGACTAGATCCAAATTGTCCCACAAAACACTCGTCTGAGAGATATTAATAGGTATGCTGCAAGAAAGTGGGCTCCACAATCTTAAAGAAGCTAGCGAGACACCACAAATTATATTCTCCCCTTAGCTTTGTCATGCCCATCAAAGGCTCTGAGAAGGGCTTCAGTTAACCTTGTTTAAATTAGCCGTTCCCAGATTTACTTGAGCATGGAACCATCTTTTCATTACATACTTATCACCTTCCTAGGGAAGGGATTCCAGTTTGGGGAATATTAGTCTAGTAGAATCTATCCATTTGGACTTTGGCACCAAGTCCCTTATTTCCTGGGAAACCTGATCCTGTTGTTTTTTTTTTCTAGGACAACTGCCCTGCTCCTCTCTGTCAGTCATCTGGTGCTGGTGACCAGGAATGCCTGCCACCTGACTGGGGGCCTGGATTGGATTGACCAGTCCCTGTCAGCTGCTGAGGAGCACTTGGAAGTCCTTCGAGAAGCAGCCCTGGCTTCCGAGCCGGATAAAGGCCTCCCAGGCCCTGAAGGTTTCCTGCAGGAGCAGTCGGCCATCTAGTGCCTGCTGACTAGCAGCTGACCACACTAGGCCAGCCTGCCATTGTCTCTGGGCGGTTCAGCTGAGCCTTCCACCTTTTCCTGTAGTTAGTTGTTCTCCACGGTTTGGGAGTCCAGCTGTCTGTGCATACAGGGATGACCCCTGTCTGTTGATGCCTCTGTTGCAGTTACAAATGGTGGCTGGTGAGTGGCAGTCTAATACCACCATTAGAGGAGATGGCATTCACCCATCTGTGCAGCAGACCTTTGCCAACGGGTAGACTGTAAGCTTTATTTAGCTCATCTCATGCTTTCAAGAAAATTGAGCCACCATCTAAGAAGCAGGAGGTTTTACATTACAATCAGAATTTCTGGCTTCCCTGAAACAATCGGAAGGTGAGGCGGCTCTGATCTGCATTTTCAAAAGAAGACAATCCATTGGAACTAAGTAGGAGTTGCCTCCTTTGACAAGACTTGTACTCTCTCAGCTGTCCTGTTTCATTTATTTGTATTATCTGTCTGGTCCCTGAGGTATCTGAATACCCCCTCCTCCCCTTCACAGGTATGGGTTTGAAGGTGAGCACCGCAGAGTTTATTATTCCCTTTTTATCACTATGCCTGCAATTTTACCTAGCTACCACTAGGGGGAAAGTAAACATATAGGTATGTTTCTCTCAAGTGTGTGGTTATTGAGTCAAATTCAAATGCATGTGGGACATATGTGTCTGAGAACTGAGGATGGAAGGAGAGAGTCTAGGAATCCTGAGGATGCCTTGTGTGTATGACTCAAAAGGAAATATTTAAAGACCGCTGAATTCAGGCAGAGGTGAAGATACTACCGTAAAGTACTTTCCATGTTAGCCATGACATCCATGAAAGATGTGTTCTCCTTTCTTTCGACATGGGTTTGTTTTGCAAATATTGAAAAATGAGAGGCATTTTTATGACATGAGACCTTTGTGGCACCCAGAATCACTACGGCATAATCCAGACATGCATCCAAATTGCATAATTTCCATCATAGGTGTAGGAACGCCTGAAATACCTCACTTCTTCCCAGGTTCTCAGAGCCCACTTTGGTCTTGGGAGAGCGCCCTGGCTGGGGGCTGCCTTGGTTCATAGCTGATGCTGTTAAGCATCATGTTTGGAGCTCCATATCTGTTCTCATTCCATGTTCTCTGCCCTGACTCAAGTCAGCAAATCCCTCAGCCTGGACCTAGAGAACCAGGAACCCATATTCCCAAGTCTAAGATCGGGGACCTGCTTGTCATTGAGACGTGTCAATTGGCACATTTTATTTTCTCCTGGAAAGCGGGATGCTTCTAACCAGTACAACGGGCACCAATTCCTCCCTGGGGAGATGCAATCAGGAGCGAGAAGCTGGAGCTCAACTCTCGTGGACTGAAAGATGGGTTCCTGATTACAGGCGGTGCCTGATTGGATTGTCCACTTCTATCCATCCTGAACGTATGCTAGGTAGTTAACTTTCCTGTCCTGCTGGTGATCTGTGAGTGGGAAATGTCCACACAGTGCCCTGCATTTTTATCTGCACCAGAGCCCTAAGCCACAGGGAAGCAACCCTGAATTGGCCTCTCAGAAGCCATCCACCAGGTGGTTGGGGGTGGAGAAGCTTCCCCTGAACTGACGCCCACTGTCACTTAACTTCTCTGAGCCCTGGCAAGTCCTGGCACACCTGCCCCCTGAAGCCCTGAAATGCTGCCCTTTCCGCGCAAGGAGGGGTTGCTGAAGACCGTGGGAGCATCTGCTAGATGGCAGGATCTCTGACTCTGCTGCTGTGTAGTTTTTCTTTGTCTCGAGGGTAGGACAAATTAGAAGTCTCTGGATAAGGTTGGTGTTGGTGGCTGATGGTTGAGGTGGAAGCACCGTCTTTTGGTAGGAGGCAGCCCCATGCCTCTAGGCCCTTTGGGAGTTGGCTGAAGTTACCTCCTCCTTTGGGAGAGGCTGGTTGGCGAGCACCCAAGACCCAGCTACCCAGCTAGGAATGGTTTCCCAGGAGATGGACACATCCCAACTCCCTAGGTCACTAATGTCTATGTATATGGTGGTAGATCTTTTCTTCCATAACTCCTACCCCCTCCTACCCTGGAGTAGGAACATCAGACTCAAATTCTGAATGAAGAAGGAATTAGGGATAGAAACTGAGTGTGAGAAGAGCAAGATCTTTGAAATCAGACAGAAGTAGCTTCCAATTTGGCCTCAGTCATTTATTGTGTGAGCTCGAACAAATTACTTAACCTCTCAGGTGCTTAGCTCTCTCACCTGTAAAATCAAGGCCACTGCCTCACTGGGTTGGTATCTGAATCTAATGAAATGGTGTATGTGAAATTGTGTGCCTGGTACTGATTAACCAACGTTACCCCTTCTTCCTCCAAGGCCCCCACCCCGGGCCCTGATGCAGCTGACCCTGATGGTATCACTTCAGTTACCACGACTGTGTCCAAGCAGGGACTTCTGTTCATGAGCTTTGGAACTGAGTAGCCAAAACTCTGGAATCGCTGCAGTAAGGAGACTGGTCCAGCCTTGTCCCTGCCCCACCCTAAGTATGTATGTTCAGGACAGAAGGCAATCAAAGCCCTTAGTCCCTTATCAGTGTTTCCAGGGCTGATTGCTCAAACTCACATTCCTCCAGCGCCCAGCGAGCCTCCTCCAGCTTGTGAAACCTCCCAGATGGAACACGTGTTCCTGGCATCCAGCTTCCCTGGCGCTTACCCTGACCTGTTTCACCCCGGGAGCTCCTTTTCAGAGACTGTGGGCCCACGTGAAGCTGATCTTTAGAAAATGACTTACAGTTCAAAGCCCCTGAAGTTGCTTTATGACCTTGAACATTTGGAACAAGTAGCAAATGGACAATTCACATCTATTTCCTCCCCTTTCTCTATCCTCCTCTTCCCTCCTTCTCAGCTCCTCCCTTCCTCCACCCATCCCTCCCACAAATATGTACTGTTTGCTTACTCTGGCCGGGCGTGTTTGCGAGGTGCTGGGGATATGGAACAAAAGGCACAAGCCCTGTCCTCACCAAGCACAAGAGACAAGTGAGCATCTGATCGAACCGCAGCTGTGGCCAGTCCAGTGAGGGAAATGCATAGTGGGGCACCATGGAGGTACAGAGAGGGATGGGTGGCTCAAGATAGTCCCATAAGACCCCTGGGAGGAGCTGATGCCTGAGTGGAGACTTGAAGAGGGTCAGGGAGGTGCTCTGGGCAGACCAGACAACGTGGGAAAGGTCAAGGGCCAAGAGAGCATGGCTCATTTGAGAAACGTAGGTGATTGGAGAGGGCTGGAGTGTGGGATGTAAGGATCGGACAGGTTCACAGGGCATCAGATCATGGAGGACCTCGTAGGTTATATTAGGGAGTTGGAGTTTATTCTGAGCATAAAGGCGGTCGTAGAAAGGCTATACCCAGGGGAGTGACTTGGTCAGAAATGCAATTTAGAGACTCATTTACTTCATACCCTATGATGTTAGGCGCCAGGATGCATACATTTGCCCAATGCCATTGAGAACCTTTCCTCCCTGAATCTGAGAGGCTCATGATATAAAGTCAGGGTGGGCAACTGGGTGGGAAGGAGGAGAGGGCTTAGACATCAGAACAGAAAGAGCCGGGGGAATAACGTGGTTGTGCTGGGCCTGTCTCTGCCTCTGTACCAGAAATGCTGATGAGCAGAGCTTTGAGTATTGGAGGCATAATTGGGTCCTTTCTATTTCATTCCATCTGTATTCTTACCATCTTCATTCTATAGATAAGGAAACCAAAGCCTAGAGAGATCAACAGCTTTCCAGGAGTTACTAAGAATCGGAGCATTGGGTTGTGGGTGGGGAGGAAACAACACATATGAGAATCCTTCCATTCTCTTCCAGGTCTAATATTTTTCATTAAAAAAAAAATGGTGGTCCTGACCCATGAATTAATTTCATGGCCGATAGTCAGTTACAACCCATAGGCTGGTAGAACACGGGCACTAAAATGAGGGCTGGGGCATGGGTGAGGTATTCTGTCTGTAGCCAAAATGACTTAATTTGTTCCATTTTGAGTAAAATGTGCGTTTACCAGAATAGTGGCAAAAATTTATGGTGCCAGATGGAATAATTAATTTATTACATGATTGATTAGTTCCAGAGTCACCTGTTGAACGTCTACACTGGGTTAAGCCCTGGGATATTGGAATGAATAAAAATATAATGCCTCTCTTGAGGCGTATATAACCTAAGGTGGAAAGAAACCCATAAAGAGTCATTTGCAGTATAATGCGGGAAGCACTAAGTAAGGGAATGTGTGTGTAAGAACTCAGAGCAGAGGTGCCAAACCCAGCTCAGGAGGGAGAGTTTCCCGAAAGTGGTGATGTCTCAGATTTGTCAAGGAGGTGTAAGAGTTAGCCGGGAAATTGGGTGGCATAGGAAAAGGTAGAGGTGGAGGAGGACAGAGGATCTAGGAGGGCATTGTGCAGTGTGACATTCCACACTGTGCTCAGGGAACCCCTGCAAGGGTCAGATGGGAGGGGAGGTGTGGTGGGAGAGCCAGAAGCCCAAGCCTAGACGCTGGACTTTTCTTCCAGGTGGTAGGGAGCAATTGAAAGTTAAAAAGGCTGTTATTTTTTCTTGGAAAACTGTCAAATGATCTCTGCACCCTCACTAGCCTTTAAGATTAACTTAATTTGATAGGTAAACACTGGTTTGGTGTTACGATAACTACCCTGGCAGTAATGCCGAGTGTGGCACGGGGTTAATTTTCACTGCCAGAAAGCGGGAATGCCAAGCGTGACTTGGGGTTAATTTTCACTGCTAGAAGCGGTAACCCCGAGAGTGGCTCAGGGTTAATTTTCACTGCCAGAAGCGGTAACCCCGAGAGTGGCTCGGGGTTAATTTTCACTGCCATTAGCAGTAACCCCGAGTGTGCCTCGGGGTTAATTTTCACTGCTAGAAGCGGTAACCCCGAGCCACACTCAGGATTACACTGCAGTGTCCCAGAGAAGTCCCTTACCTGCTCCCTGCGATCCTGCAGTGTCCTCCTGTGATTGCCGACGAGAACGCTGGCCGATGACAAATTGCAGTGTTTTTAATTTGATTACATTATTGAATAAAATTATATTATTTTTTATAATTATTTATTATATTATAATTTATGACTTTGTGTTTCACACTTTATCATACCTGGGATGCCTACTAG